GTCAATTTTGACGATCATGTCGCCACCAATGTACAGCACAGTAAACACGGGAAGTTATTACCAAACAGTGTACGTTGTCTGATTTGTGGTCCGTCAAATTGTGGTAAAACCAATTTAATGTTCGCGCTGTTGACCGACTTGAACGGATTGAAATTCGAAAACGTTTACATCTACTCGAAATCGTTGGAGCAGTCGAAATATCAACTATTGATTCGAGTATTGGAAGATGTTGAAGGGATACGTGTGTTCACATTTGCGAACGGTGATGAAGTTCCACCAGTGGACACTGTTCTGCCAAATTCAGTGTTTATTTTCGACGACGTGGTTATGGAAAAACAAAACGTAATGTGCGATTATTTTGCGCGTGGCCGACACAAAAGAGTTGATGTGTTTTTTCTCTCGCAAACATTGTCTCGTATACAAAAACAAATGTTACGAGACAATGCGAATGTGGTGGTGTTGTTCCGACAAGACGAAATCAACCTACATCATGCATACGACGAGTACGTGTGTTGTGATATGAAATTTAACGAGTTCAAAGAGTTTTGCAATCAGTGTTGGAAAAACGATAAATACGGGTTCGCAGTGATATGTACGGATTTTGATCGCGATAGTGGTCGATACAGGTACAGGTTTGACACGTACGTTACAATATGAACACCGCCGCCGCCGACAAGGATCGACGTTCGATGGAACTGTTGGATCAAGCCCGGGACAACGTCAGACGAAAATATGCAGAATTGCGTCGTGGTGAGTCAGAGTCATTGACTCACATTCAGAAAAAACTAGCATCAATAATCGAACAATTGAATAGGATTTCCAATGTTGTTAATGTGCAGCAGCAGCAGAATCATTTGAAACAATCGCAAGAAAATGGCTATTCAAAGTTATATTTTGCACATCTTATAGAACAGTGGACAAAAAATCCATTGAGAGATAAACAATACGGTCCTAGAATGCATACGAACGGTAAGCTGAGCATGGGTAATGCAAACGATATAACCGTTGACAGTGACTCTATTTGTGTAAATGAAACAAAACACCCATTGACGATTGGACTAGTGAATTTGTTGTTTTCGAAAAATCCCATTGGGTTCACCGACGAAGATTTGGAAAAGTACAAAACAATATTGGAGGAAACTGGAGCTCATCTAAACAAAAATATGGCATTGAAAAAGGGAGGTGTTAAATACAATGAAGTTATCGAGCCAATGTTCAGCAGCGTAGGATCGGGACTACAGCTGAGAGTCGGTGAAAAAAAAGATTACTTATACTGGGACGATCCCAATGAACTTGTCGAACGTCTGAAGCTGCTCATATCGGCTCAGTCGGCTGGCAACACTGGAGTGTCACCCGAGATTGTTTCCATACTAGAAGAACTTTACGAAACCGGGTACATTGCCGACATACCATCTAAATTATTAAACCTAAAATTGCGTACGAACTACATCGACCGGCCCGGAGAACGTACACTCGAACACGAGTAAACATCAAAGGACTCGATGACATATGGCATGCGGATCTTGTGGAAATGGGCGCGTACGCGAATCGTGGTCACCGATACATTCTAACGTGCGTGGATGGGTTTTCAAAGTACGCTTGGGCCGTACCGTTAAAGAGTAAAACGGCCCTGAACGTGACCACAGCAATGTTGGATATTCTCGAACAGGGTCGTCATCCAAAGCTAATGCAAACCGACCGTGGTACAGAGTTCTACAACCGACATTTCCAAGCGTTGATGGACCGTTACGGGATCCGTCATTATTCAACATTTACCACGATGAAAGCGTGTCTTGTGGAACGCTTCAATCGCACACTGAAGACGGTCATGTGGCGTGATTTCACTACGCGTGGGTCGTACAAATGGGTAGTCAGGTTGCCTGCACTGGTCTACGATTACAATAACAATCACGTGCACAGAACAATCGGCATGACACCCGCACAAGCTGTTGGGAATCCCAGTGCAGTACGCATTAAATTACAAAAAATACCCGATAATTTACCGATTAAGTTTCGAGTGGGCGACAAAGTGAGAATAAGCAAAACGAAATCCGTGTTTGACAAGGGCTATTTGCCCAACTGGAGCACCGATTGATGTTCACAGTGACCAAGGTCAAACGAACAGTACCGCCAACATATTATCTGGAAGATTACCAGAGGAACCCCATTCAGGGTGTATTTTACACCGAAGAGTTGAGCAGGACCCAGTATCTGGACACGTATTTAGTGGAACGGGTGTTACGCACACGCGGAGACCAGTGCTACGTTAAGTGGTTGGGTTTTGGCCCGGAACACAACTCATGGATATCGAAAGCAGATTTCTCACGGCAATGATTGTCGACATTCAGGGCCTGGTGGCTGCCGCCGACCATTCGTTCTTGGTAAAAGAAATGACCGTCATAGACCTGGAGTCCATGTCTATGGCCCACTGGGTGTTCAAACACCCAAACATCATCAAGGACGATGTGAAAACAACTTACTGGCTAAAAAAGTACCATCACGGCTTGGACACGAACATTGGTGACGTGGAATACACTGAAATACCGAGAATAATGTCGTTGTTACGGTGCGATACTATCTACGTGAAAGGCGTGCAGAAAAAACAAGTTTTACAAAAATATTTACCCGGACAGAGGGTAGTCGAAATAGAAGAAAACTGTCCACCACTGCGAAAATTATGTGTGGAATTCCAACCACGTTGTATTCGTCACATAAATAATCATGAAATGTGTAGCTTGTATAAAGCAATGTGTTTGAAACAATGGTTAACGGATAATTCGTAATTGTTTTATTTACATATTTTTATAAAAAAAAAAATTGGTTAAAAAATTACAAAAAATGTATCAATTTATTTTATTAAATAAAACTAATGTACACTTTGAGTTTAATTTGTTTTTTCGTCGTCGTCATCGACTAGAGAATAATGCCCCCACGCTTTTGTATACACGTCTTTATACTCTTCTTCGTCACCGATTAACGCCCGCTTATCGTAGTTGTTGTTGTTGACCAACGCGAGTTTATTAATTTCCACACGTAGTGAAATCACGCCACATGACCGTCTTCAGTGTGCGATTGAAGCGTTCCACAAGACACGCTTTCATCGTGGTAAATGTTGAATAATGACGGATCCCGTAACGGTCCATCAACGCTTGGAAATGTCGGTTGTAGAACTCTGTACCATGGTCGGTTTGATTATACAATAATATTGCAGTCACAAGTGTTACCTTTGTTATAGATATGTGTTCAGTAATATATTATATTTTAAAATAACAAACACATTAATTTCAAGATTAACAGACTTTGGCTATTTGTACTGTACAAATAGTACGCATCAATAAAAACCGAATATTGTATTTCAATGTTTCAATAAAAGGGTATGTAGTAGTATACACACACAGAGTCAATGTTGTAAACAACAATTGACCTTGAAATAATGCTGTTTCTGATATTGCGCCTACGCGTTATGCACGTGTTCAGTGGTTTTTTTGTCAAATACAACGACTGTCGGAATGTCTGGAATGTGTAGCGGAACCACATCATTATTTACATCAGTATTCATCATTTACGAAACATCGACTTAAACTTAAACGAAAACGTCGGGGTGAATTGGCACGGCTGTATATAGGGTTGTGACATATCATACGCGCGGACTCGACGCGTACTATACGTACGTTGAACCGTTAGCGTGTAGGTACTCTGGAAAATTAACTTTTTTTTTTTTTGACCGAACCGACTAACATATATGTTATATAGTTGGGATTGTGTAACGGGCCAGCTGTAGTAGGTTTAGGTATGACGTCATAGGGCTTACCTTGGGCCAGTGTTGAAGTGTGACGTCGGTCACCATAGGGATTACCCCTAATATCAATGTTTAGGTATGACGTCACAGCGGCTTACCCCTTTGGTCAATGATGTGATGTCGTCAACTAGAGGGATGACGTCACGAGCTGCACCTGGATGCAGTCCCCACGGGCGCCGGTGCCGGGGGGGTGACGGTAGATCAGGTGTGACGTCACCATGACGGAATGCATCTCACCTGTGCATCCATTGTTCCCCGGGGACAATAGATGACGTAATTAGTCGGCACCTTTGAGAGCCCGTACACCTGTACACCCATTGTTTTCCCCGAGAACAATAGATGACGTCATTTGTCGGCACCTTTGAGAGCCCGTAGCGCACCGATTGTTTTCCGAGAACAATAGCGCCCCATTGTTCTAAGAACAATAGATGACGTCATTGTCGGCACCTTTGAGAGCCCGTACCCGCTATTTATATACTACTCGAATCATTTCCCTAAATGCAGAGGGGCTTCAAAACTTAAAAATGCATATAAAAAGTAGAACTTTTTCAACTTAATTTTTGAAAGTGTTCCGGAAATATTGACACTTTTATATATATCTTAAATTAAAGATTATGTAATATACTTTAATATTAAAAAAAAAATGTTGATCATTATTTTATCTTCACGGTGAAAATGGATACCAAATGCTACTTTTGTGTGAAAATTCTCGATTTTATTTTTTGTATTTTTAACTTTATAATGCTAAAACTTATTGAAAAGTGTATGGACCAACAGAGTTTTCTATGAGAAATAATATTTATATCTCTTTTTTATTCGACATACTTTATCTTAATCAGGATTTAAATAAGGAAATAACAGATCATGTAGCTTTTGGAATAATCCACCAATTTTTTAAAATTAAACACTATCTAAAGATTTGCATCGAAGCGTTTTTTATGATAGTGATTTTAATCACTGTCAGATATCATTATACTTGATCTAACTATGACACGTCACCACTGTGCTACGATCCCCCTGTGCTGGGTTTTTTTTAAGTAAGATTACTTGAATTTTAATGAAAAGTTAAGAAACTGTTTTATTTATTATACATTTTTATATTATTCTTACGTAATAATTTACAGATAAATATTCTTATAAACATCCTAGTTTGATTTTGTTTTTTACTAAATATCTACATCGAATTTAATTTACTTTACAGTTAGATATGTGGTTGAGCCAGAATTTTATAGTACCGCAAACAAAAACACCGATTAAAACAAATGGTACCGATACATGGAACATATTGATCAAATCATTTAGAGATTCTTCTTTGACACATTTGGTATTTGAAAAGAACACGATATGTATATACACAACTAATATTAGTCTCGCTGCTGACTTGGTACAATCATTAGCATCTTACCTGAATATTGAACAAGTAGAAGTAAGTATATGTTGTTTATTTTTCTGAAGTTAAAAATTTAACAATTTTAGAATACGCGATTATACAAGTAATGATTTCAATATCAGTTAACTTGTTAAAAAAATTTGCTTTAAATAATTCATTGGACAATTTTGAGATTTAACCTGGGGTTTTGAACTGATGTATAAGAAAATAGGTAGCAGCGTAATATACTTAATATTCAATCACAAACTTTACATAAAGTTTTAAGCACTAGTATCAGATCAAAAAACGTACCTCCCTAAAATTTTAATAATTTAAGATTATTACCACTAAATAAGTTATTAGGGCTCTTTTAAAAGATAGTCCTTATACTATGAATCAATTGACTTATTCTTTTTTAGGATACTACCCGTTAAATGATTTGAAATATCGACCAGCTGTCTTAATTATTAAGTCAACGGTGATATCTATAATAATTATTACGATCTATAAACATTTTAATTTTAAAAGCATAAATAAATAATACTTTTTGATTTTCAAAATAATTTGATTCTTAAAAATTTTTTTTTTTTAAACAACATTTTTTAAATAAAATTATGAATCTTATGAATTTTAATTTATTAAAATAATTTTACTGTTAATATAGTGATTTTGAAATGTTATATGTTACAGTCCCATGCCGAATTTCCTCAAGTCTTGGAAGATTTATGGGAAAATATACAACTAGTAAAATCTCTACAACAAAATTCAGTTACATTAAATGCTTCGATTGCTGATAATTCGGCTTTGTTGAAAAATCTTACTGTGAAAGCAGAAGATTTCAGATTATTAGATGATATGTAAATTCCTTTAGTTAATTAATATAGTTAAAAGTTTTTAGTTTTTAACTATGAATTATCTTTTATCTTTAAGGCTAAATATGAAAACCTGTTTGAACGAAATATACCACGTTAATAGACAGATGATACAAAATCATAAAGTAACATGTGAAAACCATGATGAATTGCTAAAAACTTTAAAAAAAATCAACACTGTTATACAAAATGCTTCTCGACTTCGTGGCGAGTATTTAACTTAGCGTAGTGCTCCCTCGAAATCCATGCAATGATCCAATTTTTGATTAAAAATTGTACTTTTTGATCAATTTTGAGGAAAAAAAAACTTCTTAGCCATATTTAAAAATCTTCTGGCTATACTATAAGCTGATTAACCTACACAAAGCTAAAAATTGTTCAATTGTTGATCAAAAAGTATACATATATAGTAACATTTTACCAAGTAATATCCTAAAGGGTTCTTAGTCATAAGATATAGTAATGCTACGTAAATATAATTTCGCATACGTAGCTATGTGCCTGATTATTAACCAATAAATTGTTGTTGAAACTTTTTTTTATCTACCTGTCAAATGTTATAAAAAATTTTCCTCTTTGATTTTATAGTGAGTAACAGCAAAAGCGAAATGATAACTGCATATCGGCAAGCCGTTGCTTCGGAAAACATGACTGTTTTGAAAAAATTAGTTGAAACTGGAAATAAGGAGTAAGAGAAACATACAATATTTACACTATTAAAAAAGTATTATAATTATTTACATTAATTCGTCATTTAATCACTTTAATAAATAATTCAGTAAAATATTTTATAACAAAAGAAGTAATAAACAAACAACCATTATTACACTGTATAGGTACATATTATGTAACTTACATTACTAAAACCACATGGTATCGCGATAGAAGATTCTGCCGTTCTATAGAACAATTATTTATCATAATTATTTTTTTCTATACTTTTGATTATGTGAGCAAAAAAGCCTTTAATACAGAAGTTAATATATATTAACATTAAAAAATAAAACTAGTATTTTTCCAATGCAATCACACAACCTTCATTTTAATGTCCACGCCTCAGTACCCAATGTCTCCCCTTGTATATGAAGCCCTCTATTAATAACAAATAAATAAATAAATAATAATTAGAAGAACTATCAAATGATTGATGTATTATAAGAAATTCAAATTATACAATTAAACATTTTAAAAAAAATGTAATAAATTAAGATTTTATTAGTAAAAAATTGTATTTTTTTTTATTTTTAATGTCATATTTATTTATTATTATGATTTTTAGTAAAATATGTTTATAGTTCAGTGTGAGTAGAAGGGAATTTTTTTTGAATGGCGATATATAGTGTCCGAAAAGAATATATGGCCATTGCTAAAATTAAAATGAAGCTAGTAATAAATACTGTAGACATGACAGTGTCACTCATGAGATTCTTTTTTTTGGCATTTTTCTGGAATGGATTACTGCTACACCCTTCGCCGTTTTTTTCTTTGAGTCGAATTAGTTCTCGAATCATTTTTATTTGTTCTAACTTTTCCTCAGCGCCTGTTAACATTGAAAAAGTATAAAAACTGTTGTGAAAGTATTATAAAAATAAAAAATAATAAATTATTTGACGGTGCACAAAGGTGCAACTAGAGTGAAATTTTTGAGGGTACTAATTTCATTTTGTCACCACACTAAAAAACAATATACATATTTTTCTAAATGACGATCTACTTTGTCTAATAGAAGTTAAGCCCCTTTAGTTGCGCCTATGATAGTGCGCATCAATTAGTGTGATACCTTAAGTTGAGTTCGAATATAAACTTAAGGGCGAAATTAAATTTTATCATTCTCTAAAAATATTTGATATAATACTACATAAAGTTTCCTTGAATGTTTGGAAAGACAAAGTTTCTCAACCTCCGCTTATTATAATCTACACATCGATAAAAGAAAATAAATGTGAGCAAAATTGTTTATTAAAAAATTCTCAAAAACCAGGTGATAAAAAAAGATTTTTAGACATATTTTATAAATATCGTTTTTGAGCATCTACGGCTAGATTTTTATTTGATTTATAATTATAAAATATGAATAAATAATAATTATAATAATTAAATTTAGTATGAAATTAATATTCGATAATTTAATATTGTAATTTTTACGGATATATTATNCGGAAAAAAAAAAAAAAAAAAAAAACACACATAGTAAAATTAATACCTTCTCAGCTTCGCATCGAAGCTAATAATGAAGTAGTTGTATATTTCTTTACTTTTAACGCATATAAAAATTTAAAGGGCTTGACGAAATACTTTTCAATAAAAAATGTTTGTTACTTATAAAAAAGTTATAAGTTTTATACACTGGACTACAATGAACTTTCATTAAAAACAAAAATATACTATTCTAAATCAACTTTTCGCGATGTTTTCAAATGTGTAATTAGACTTTTTTTTATCACTTCTAAGTTTTCATATTATTACTTATTAAAATAAGTATTTCAGTGGCGTGCGGTCAGGGCAAGCTAGGTAAGCGGCACATGCCCGGCCAAAAAGGAAGAAATAAAAAGATTAACATTCATAATGTTAAATGACAAATTGACTTATACATTAAAATTACAACTATTCATTAATTCTTATTTGAGTATTCAATTTAAACAAATTTATTAGGTTTCTTTGAAAGAAATTAAATGAATTTTTTTCGTGTAGGCAATTTCTTTACAGAAGCGCTCGTATTTTGGATTGCCTGGCCCGTATCGTTATTTATAGAAATGACCGGTTGCGGTAGAAGGAGATACACATGTTTTTACGTGGCGGTTGGTTGAAAGCATAACGCTTATCGATAATTTTAAAAACGGAATTCCAATATTTTTACGATACATATCGGATTATTTTCGTTATTAATATACTTTTATATTATATTTAAATAGTACTTTTTAATAAAATATTTAATAACGTATTGACAAATTTGCAAGCACGATTTGGTTCTCTATATAAATTCGAATTTTTATCATTAATTGACCCAAATAAATATTCAAACTACACGAACGAATTTCCAAATTCTGCGCTAGAAAACTTGCGAGAGTAAAATTTCGGAAAAACGTTTGATTTTATTTGATTACGAAACAAATTGATTGTATTATACAAATCTGAAGAATTTTTACAAATACTAATCCATATGATTTAGTCAAAAAAATTAAGATGAATGATTTAATATCGGCGTTCCAAAAAGTATTTAAACTCGGTCAACTAATTTTAACTATTCCTAGTACAACAGCTTCAGTTGAACGATCTTATTCGGCGTTAAAACGAATCAAATCGTATCAAAGATCTACACAAGGACAAGAAAGACTTAGTTCATTATCATTAATTTCAATCGAAAAAGAACTTCTGCATAAAGAAAAAAATAATCCGGAATTTTATGATAGTTATAAATGAATTTTTGAAACAAGAAAGACGAATGGATTTTATCTATAAATAACTTTTGGATTGTAATTTTTATTAATAAAATACCTTTTTTTTGTTTTAACTTGAAATTTTATTTTAGCGCTTACCCAGCATAAAATATCACCGCCGCACGCCACTGGAGTATTTACATATAAAAAAAAAAATAATAAGAACAAAAAAAAAAATGTTTAAAATTAATATTGATTTTGATAATTAATACGCTAAAAATAAGGAAAATTACATTAATCTATTTTTTTAATCCTTTAAAGTTGATTTTTGTGAAAATTTATAGTAAAAAAAAATTAAATTACTACCATAACCTTTTGCTCAATTTGTAAGTTTGAAATTGACATCATTGAATAGGAAATTTTATGAGAATTAAAAAAATTCTATGATTAATATTAATATGCACTCACGAAATTTTATAATAACTATTTATAGTAAATTTATCAGAAAAGCTCAATATTTTTTTTCATTTTTATCATAATATTAACTTAAATAGAAATAATAGTAATCATTTCCTAGTAACTTTTGGTGTTTAAAAAGATTCTACAATTGAAATATGAACTGAATTAATTTTAATGATTTACTTTAACTAATATATCTAATCATAAAAAAGTTGTTAAAAAGATCTAAAAATCCATTGTTAATTCAGGAGAAACTAACAATCATTTTTTTTAGAAATGATTTATATAACAACATGTTACCAAAATATTTGGAATATTATAGTAGTAGCGCACACAAATAGAGTAAAAAAATTATTAAATTACAAAGTAAAATGATTTAATTTTGTAATTGAAATTTATTATATCGAACTTGATTCGTCAATAATTACTTTGAAAACAATATAAATGAATGATCTTAATTGTCTGTATGGAGAACATGGGATAAATAACTACTATTTAATTGATAAATTAGAATTTTGTTTCAAATTTTGAGCGTAATATCTTCTTTTTTTAAATTAAAGTATATTACATGAACTTCAATTTAAGGTATATAATATATTATATTTTATATTATAAAAGTGTCAGTATTTCTGGAACAAATTAAATAGAAAATGTCCTAATTTCAATGCGCATGTTTAAAGTTTTTGTGTAAAGGGATATGATCCTAATTTAAAAAAAAGTGTGTCAGATGAAAGAGGTATATAAAAATTATTTATATAAATAATAATATTGATCCATACATTTTTTCAAAAGTTATGGCAATATAAATTAAAAAATATAAAATCGAGAATTTTTTCACGAAAATAGTACGTTTTTCTTTAACTTTGATATCTGTTTTCACCATGAAGAAAAGTCCAGAGTGCAATTTTTTTTTTTCAAAATAAAGTATATTACATAAGCTTTAATTTAAGGTATATAAGGACATAACCATATCTCTGTATATGTCATTAATCGCTAATATAGATTCATATAAATGTGAATACTTACTCATTCCGTCAATATCTAAGGATGTTGTATTATTTTGCATGTTGATTATTAATAGAAACTTGTCTTATATAAAATTTAAAAACGAGGATACTTCTTGTAGCTAGTATTATTACTAAATGTTGTACATAGTGAGTGTATATTTATTGATTTTTATCTTGTCCCAATTTTAAGGTAACCATAGTTACTCATGAAGCTGTAATTTTTGAGCTACTACCCTCTGTCTGTAGAGATATGAACTGATTTTATTAACAATTTTTGAATATGGTTTAATAAATAATAAGTATAGTATAGTAAATTTTAGTGTAATAATTATATTAGTGTATTAATTATAAATTTATAATTTTTTTTGCTAATTTAATCATTTAAATAATACTAAATGACTCTGTAAAATTTTTTAATTAATGATAAAGTACATCAATATAGTAATTTATTTTTTTAAATTGAGGATGTTGATTAAGTTTATTAAGCAAAATTATCAGCTCAAAACAATATTGTAATAAATTAATTTGCATTTCAGACAATTATTTTTAATTTAAATTTCCTATTTAATAAATTATTTTTTATTAATTAGACAATAGTTATCAGTTGAATACAAATTTTTATCAAAAGTTTCAATATTTATCCTTAACCATCAATTTTGGAAGATATTGAAAATTAGTTATATTTAAAGTTAAAAATTACCATTTTTATATATTCTTAAACTATCTTAAAAATAAGTGTTCCTTTAAAATTTATTTATAAGATTTATTTTAAAGAAAAAAGAAAATGAATTAAATTTATATAAACTGGAGTTTTTCAATATTTTCCAAAATTATTTTTATAAAACAATCAGAGAATTTATGTATTATAAGCAAACATAATAAAGCAGTAAAAAAGTTTTCAACATCAAAAACATCATGTATTTGGAGTATATGATAATCTAGATGAGCATGAAACATAAGTTTTTCTCATCTTTAAAAGAAACTCGCTTCTGTAGCACTGTATTAATTTTTTTCAATATTTTTCAATGGGTTTCTGTAAAACTAATATAAGAAAAGTAAAAACACCAAAATAATGTTAATTATCAAAATTTTTTATACAAATTAAGTTACATATATAATTTTTTTTTATAAATAATAAAATAATAGATTAATAAGTATTTAACCTATTAAAAAAGCTAATAATTTCTCAAGCATGTTAAATAAAAGTAGTAGAAAATTTACTATAAGAATTTGTGTTATCTTTTATAAAAAATAATTATATTTATATAAATATTTTAAGTTTTAAATAAAAATCATTATTAACTATGTTGTACAATAATGTTCCATTATTAATGTCTATAATTATTATTAAATTATTAAAATTAGGAACATTAATCATAGTTTATATTAAACAATTTGTATAACACAATGCAGGTCTCCTGTATTAGGCTTATGTTTAGCTATAATTTTTAGAAATCGTCGAATTTTTTTGTAATATCCTGGACAATTCCATGTTGTATTGTGAGAACCTCTTCTAAATCTAACTATCTGTTTTAGAGGACCACAATAAGAGTCAAATAAATTTGTCATCATTGCTGGTGGCACTAATGTATCCTCTTCACCTGATACAAATAGTATTGGAACTTGCATTTTACTCATTTTCCAGTTGGACATAAACTAAAAATTTAAATTAAAGATTGTTAAAATATTATTAAAAAAATAATAATAGATCACAATTAACTTATAGGTTTATTTTTTAAATAAAAGCAATGCTTCACCCTGAGAGACTATAAACCAGGGATAAAAACCAAAATTATTTCAGTTTTCAAGAAATACTATATAAAGTAGGCAATTTGACATTTGAAATTAACAAATATATATATATTTTTTGGTCAATTTTGGTTTTTAAACTTTTTTTAATCAAATTTTATTAGTTCTATCAAATTTTATCAAGGTTCCAAGCCTTGCTATAAACATTTGTTTTGTTGTTAAAAATTCAAAAAAATGAATTACCTTATTTTTATATAAACACAAAGGGACGTATTTCAAAACATCTGAAGACATAAGTACAGTTGCCATATCAGGTATGCTAGTAAAAGTGTTTTCAACAATTACACACCAAATCTTTTGAGAATATTCTATACGAGCTGCTAAATCAATAGCTACTGCACCACCTTATTAAGAAGTATATTTTATTATAATGTTGAAATATAAAAATAAAATGATTTATATACCTAATGAGCGACCAAATACAATAATGCGCCCAAGATTTAAATCAGTTCTGGATAAAATAAAATCCATTGCTGCACTAGCGTCCATGTACAGACCTCTTTCAGATGGTGAACCATGAGATAAACCATATCCACGATATTCTAACATGACTATATTGCATGAAAGTTCATTATAAAATCCATGTATATTTGTTAATCTGTTAAAAAATACATCAAAGAAAAAATTATTTTATTATTAATAATGATAATAGGTAAAATAATTATATGCAGGCCAGGATTAAGGGGAGAAAAATGTCTGGGAGAGCTCATCATAAATTTTATTAGCTTGCATGACTAGTGACAGATTTTCTGGTTTTTTTTGCTTATTATTTTGTTACGGAAGCAAAATATTCTATAAGGGGATCCCATCTCTTGGTAGTGTATAAATCTATATAAGACTTAATCCGGCCCTGATTATATATTACCTATGGCCCATATTTCCAGCATTGCCATGTAAAAATAAAATTGTAGGTACAATTTTAGATGCTTCTCCAGGTTGCTTGATAAGGAATATATGCAAACGTGTACCATCCAAACTTTTAATATATATATTTTCAAATGGCATGCCGTACATGGAAGGTTGAGGAACAAATATTCTAGAATGATCTGGTAAGTCTGGGTAATATAGTAAATAGTCCTCAGAGTGATAGACAAACCCTATTAAAAACAAGTTAATATGAAGTTTAGATTTAATTGATAATAGTTTGGTTTATTTTACTTACCAATAATACTGACTAGAAGAAATGATAATGCTAAAAGACCACCAAAAAACCAATATAACAAAATGAATGTGACAAATGTAGCACCAGCACTAATTGCACTAAATGCCATATAACATTTTGTTGACATAGTTTTCCAAAAAGGAAAACATAACTTATCTTTACGAATAAACCAAGTTTGAAGTCGTTCCATATCAATTATATTTAGTTAAGTACAACGAAAAACTTGATAATATCTTAAATAAACATGATGCAACCTTTTTTTCTTTTAGACTTTTGTAACTGCTTCATTGTGTACACGAAAAATAGAAAAAGAAATAACTGAAGAATCAAATGACCAAGAATAGATCAAAAGTAATTGTGATAACAGAGTATTGAATGTACAAATACTTTTATTATGATAATAATTCAATTGACTTCCACTACCTGGTTTTCTATAATACCACTCTGTATCATCATACTCGTACGATAAAATGCTATTTCTCAAAGATTGTTTTATGATTAATTAGAACTAACTATTTCATTTAGATGAATAAAATAATTAAAGAATTTAGTAGATTAAACGTCGCAATAGTAGTTGTTGATTGATATCATTTTATAGTATAACAATGCCAGAGATAACCATAGAAATAAGATTAAATAATGACACAGAATAAATGATAATGAGTTATGATAATGCATACTCCTCTTTTTTATTCTATTTCCTTGACAAAAATTATTATTGCTGAAAATCGTTATCACCGGCTAAAGTTGTATGTTAACATTTAATATTAAAATTTTATCTAAAGAATTAAAATTACATAGTCGATAAAATTTTGTTCAATTAAGATGCGTCATCCGTTATTTATAAAATCATTCCACGATATTAATTTTAGTTATAAAATAATGTGTCAGATGTATCGTTGTTATACTACAAAGAATGTTCTTAAGTTACACGAGCGAAACATGCTTCAAAGTATATTTCCAGAAAATTCAAGGTTTGAGTCCCAAATTTTAGCCTTTTTATTATAATAGTTCACCAGGTTATTAAGATACATTAGTCTAATTTAAACCTTATTTCTTCAATTAATTATACATATTTTATTAATTGTATGAGCTTACAAAGTTGAAGTGATACAAGTCAGTTTTTGAGTAAAATGAGATTAACTTGAAGATAAATATTTCACTATTTTATTTGGTATTAACAATAATAATATAAAAATCTACAACTATATAAGTTCTTATGAGGTTAAAATATTTCGAATGAATCTGATAAAATAAATATTTACTTACAATCATTCTCTAACCCCCACAAACATTAATTGTTACATATAATGTTTTATAGGACATTCAAAATCAAACTTTTAGAGCAGAATAACTTTACTAGATTATAACTTAAAATTTAGAATTATATAAATGAAATATTGAATAAAAAACAAACTTAATCTTAATTTTACTTTGGTCAATAAAATTTGATAGGTTACAATAGATAATATAATAACAATATACATAATATTATAGGATAATTCTTAAAATATGAAAATGATAAAAGACAATTTTTTAAATCGAATTTTAAAGAAAACAAAACTTAACCTTTAACATCTTATAATAAATATAACTTTTTTATCAGTCTTAATTGCTCTATTAAGACTGAGAGGGCAACTGCTCCTTTTTATTCCTACGGTTCGGCATCACTGTTATTAATTTAATAGCATAAAAAATCTTATAATTTTTTTAACTTTTTTATTTTAGCAATGAAATTATAACAATATTAACTAGAAAAAATCAGTGTGTTTATGCTGGATTTGACCCAACCGCTGATAGTTTGCATATAGGAAATTTATTGGTAATCATGAATTTGTTACATTGGCAACGAGCCAATCACAATATCATAGCTTTGGTAATTATTAATTTTATCTTATTTAATTTACATTATTTTATTTTAATTGTTGATGTTTTAATAATGTTAACTGATGTAGATTGGAGGTGCAACAGCTCAAATAGGTGATCCAAGTGGTAAATCTAAAGACCGCAAAACAGAGTCTTCAGAAAAATTGTTGGAAAATATTAATGGAATTACTAAGAGCTTAAAATCTGTATTTGAAAATCATTCAAAATATTTTTGGAAAAAAAATCAACAATTACCTGATCCAATGTGAGCACTTTTGAGGTAGCTTTTTAATTTTGCTTAGTTTTGATTTATTATTTAACTTACATTCAGGGAGAACTCAAGGAAGGGTAGTAAAGGAAGATGCTCAGTAACCAATGGTTCAAAATTATATTTAAAGCCCCACAGTTCTAAAACTGTAATATTACTATAATTTCTATGTTTTATTTACTGAAATTAAAACACGAATTACAATGTAATAAAATTACAATTAATTTTGTATTGAAATAAATGATTTAAAAAAGTGTAGTACTTATATATACTATATTAGAACTTATAGAACTCTAACTTATTAGAAATAAGTATTTGAATATTAGTATATTAAAAAGTCAGTTGCACATCTAAGGGTGGTTAGGGGGTTGTATTCCTCCCAAAATAATTAGCCTTACTTAAATTATTTTAGTCTTGCATAAAAAGTTTTGATTTAATGACTATTCAGCTTCATTGCGAAGCTGAGAAGGTATTAATTTTTATCATGATGTGTATATTTTATTATTATTTTTTTTTGTGTCTGTCACTACTTTTTCTGAGCTCTCACTGGACCGATTTTTTTCAATGATACATCAAAAGATCACAAATCGTATCTAGTTAAAGAAATTACCCTTAAAAATGAAAAAATTTGTCTCGTTTCCCGTAAATGGAGTAAATCTAAAAAAAAATTACAATTTTAAAAATCAGTAATTTTTGACATTTATTTCACTTTTTTTTCTTAAAACTACCATAACTCTTTTAAAAATGAACAAATCAAAATAATTTTTTTTATATTGAAACCTTAGATATTTCCCTTTTATTTGATATCATTTTTTTGAAAATCTAACACTTAAGCTTCTCACAGAGAGGGATTTAAAATAGAAACTTTTTTATAAAAACTAACTTTTTCAACTTAATTTTGAAAATTTTCCCTTAAACACTACAAGTTTTAAATATTTGTCAAAGTGAAGCTAATGTTATGTATTATAAATTGAATAAAAAATCACTTTATCTTCTACGTGCAAACGGTTACCTTGGTTAAAAAAAGCTATTTTAATGTTAAAATTTTCGAATTTAAATTTTCAACTTTAAAATGCAAAAACTTTTCGAAAAATATATATCAACACAATTTTTTTTCTCTAAATATATTATATATACTTATTTCATTTGACATACTTTTTATTTAAATTGGACAAATTTCCCTTATAAAGTGGGTGTTCAAAACTTAAAACATACGTATAAAAAGTAAAAGTTTTTCAACCTAACTTATGAAAATGTTCCGGAAAAACTGCGTCCTTTAAACATATTTCAAATTCAAGCTTATATTACCCTCAAAAATTGAAAAATTTGCCCTCGTTCCCCATAAATAATGAAAATCACCTAAAAAATTACGATTTTTAAAATCGGTAAATTTCGACATTTTAGCTTCGATGCGAAGCTGAGAAGGTATTGGTTTTACTATGATGTGTTTTTTTTTTTTTTTTTTTTGTGTCTGTTACCACTTTTTCTCAGCTCTCACCGAACGGATTTCTTTCAACGATACGTCAAAAGATCACAAATCGTATCTAGTCGAAGACATTACCCTTCAAAATTGAAAAAATTTCCCTCGTTCCCCGTAAATGGGGGATGGGGGAAACCTCCAAAAAATTTAAAAATCGCTAATTTTCGAAATTTTTTCAATTTTTTTTTACTAAAAACTGCCGTAACTATTTCAAAAATTNGATGGGGGAAACCTCCAAAAAATTTAAAAATCGCTAATTTTCGAAATTTTTTCAATTTTTTTTTACTAAAAACTGCCGTAACTTTTTCAAAAATAAACATATCAATATAATTTTTTTTTATATAGATGCTTGATGTCTTTACCTATCATTTGGTATATTTTTTTTGTAAATCTGACACTTAACCTGCCCACAGGGGGGGATTTAAAATGACAACTTTTTCACAAAAAATTTACTTTTTCAACATAACTTTTGAAAATGTTCCGGAAGGTCTGACACTTTTATATATATCTTAAATTAAAGCTAATGTAATGTAATTAATTTTAGTTATAAAATAATGTGTCAGATGTATCGTTGTTATACTACAAAGAATGTTCTTAAGTTACACGAGCGAAACATGCTTCAAAGTATATTTCCAGAAAATTCAAGGTTTGAGTCCCAAATTTTAGCCTTTTTATTATAATAGTTCACCAGGTTATTAAGATACATTAGTCTAATTTAAACTTTATTTCTTCAATTAATTATACATATTTTATTAATTGTATGAGCTTACAAAGTTGAAGTGATACAAGTCAGTTTTTGAGTAAAATGAGATTAACTTGAAGATAAATATTTCACTATTTTATTTGGTATTAACAATAATAATATAAAAATCTACAACTATATAAGTTCTTATGAGGTTAAAATATTTCGAATGAATCTGATAAAAAATAAATATTTACTTACAATCATTCTCTAACCCTTGTCTTCACAGCGAAAATGGCTACCGAATGCTATTTTTGTGNACTTGTCTTCACGGCGAAAATGGCTACCGAATGCTATTTTCGTGTGAAAATTCTCGATTTTATTATTTATATTATATTTAACTTTATAATGCTATAACTTATTGAAAAGTTTATGGATCCACACAATTTTTTTATGAGAAATAATATTTTTTAATAAACCCTTTTTCATTTGACATACTTTATCTTTATCGAGATATTAATAAGGAACCAGCAGATCAAGTAGCTTTTGTAATAAAACACCAATTTTTTTTAAATTAAGCACTATCTAAAGATTTGCATCGAAGCGTTTGTTTTTGATAGTGATTTTAATCACTGTCAGATATCATTATACTTGATCCAACTATGCCACGTCACCACTGTGTCGCGACCCCCCTGTGCTGGGTTTTTTTTTTAAATTGCCATAACTTATTGAAAAACGAACAAATCCAAATAATTCTTTTTTATATTGAAACAAAAGGTATTTATATTTCATTTGATATAATTTTTTTAAAAATCTGACCCACAAGGGGGGATTCAAAATAACAACTTCTGCACAAAAATTTAACTTTTTCAACTTAAGTTTTGAAAATATTCCAGAAATACTCCGAGCTTCAAACATATGCTAAATAAAGCTAATGTTGTGAACTATAAGTTCAAAAAAAAATTTGTCCCGTAGACTTATCTTCTATGTGAAAATAGTTGCCGTACATAAAAAACATAGAATTTTGATGTTAAAATTTACGATTTCTTATTTTATTTTTTCAACTTTAAATTACTATAACATTTTTAAAAATGTATGAATCAATACAAATTTTTGTTACTAAATAAATTATATATGTACCTTTTATCCACTATAATTTTTTTTTTTTTAATTGGACCATTTTCCTTTATACAGGGGAGTTTAATTTTTAAAAATACGAGCAAAAAGTAGACCTTTTTCAACTTAACTTTTAAAAATGTCTCTGAGTATTTAAAAATACTCCGAGCTTTAAATATATGTCAAATTAAATCTTATGATAAATACTATAAGAAAAAATTTTATCAAAAAATATAATTTTTATACAAAAATCACTATTTTTTAGCTTCGATGCGAAGCTGAGAAGATATTTGTTTTACTAAGATGTGTTTGTTTATTTTTGTATATTTTAATTTTTTTGGAGGTTTCCCCCATTTACGGGGAACGAGGGAATTTTTTTCAATTTTTAAGGATAATGTCTTGGACTAGATACAATTTGTGATCTTTTGACGTATCATTGAAAGAAATTGGTTCGGTGAGAGCTGAGAAAAAGTGATAACAGACAAAAAAAAAAAAAAAATAAACACATCTTAGTAAAACCAATACCTTCTCAGCTTCGCATCGAAGCTAAAAAATACGATTTTAACTTTATAATGCTATGACATTTTAAAAAATGTATGGATCAATATAATTTTTTTTTTATAGAAGCATGATGTCTTTACCTATCAGTTGGTTAATTTTTTTTATAAATCTGACTTTTTACCTGTCTACAGGGGGAGATTCAAAATGACAACTTTTTCACAAAAAATTTACTTTTTCAACTTAATTTTTTAAAGTATTCCGGAAAGTCTGACACTTTTATAGATATCTTAAATTAAAGCTAATGTAATGTACTTTATTATGCGAAAAAAAAATTTCGGACTTTATTTTGTCTTCACGGTGAAAATAGCTACCGAATGCTATTATTGTGTGAAAATTCTCGATTTTATTTTTTACATTTTTAACTTTATAATGCTATGACATATTGAAAAGTGTATGGATCAACATTATTTTTTTATGAGAAATAATATTTTTTAATAATCCCTTTTTCATTCGACATACTTTATCTTAATTAGGATATTAATAATGAACTAGCAGATAATGTAGCTTTTGGAATAGTCCACCAATTTTTTAAAATTAAACAGTATCTAAAGATTTGCATCGAAGCGTTTTTTTTTGATATTGATTTTAATCACTGTCAGATATCATAATACTTGATCCAACTATGCCACGTCACCACTGTGCCGCGATCCCCCTGTGCTGGGTTTTTTTATATTGAAACCTTAGATATTTTTTTTACATTTGATATAATTTTTTTGAAAATCTGACTATAAATCAGGAGAGATTCAAAAAAGCAAATTTTGCACACAAGTTAAGCTTTTTTAAATATAATTTTTGAAATTGTTCGGGAAATATTGACACTTTTATTTAACCTTAAATTAAAGCTTATATTATATACTTTACTATAAAAAAAAAAAAAAATTCGAAATATAGTTTTTCATCTTAGTGAATGAAAATGGCTATCGTATTCAAAAATATGCTATTTTTGTGTTAAAATTCTGTGTTTTGTATTTTATCTTATAATTTCTTACAAGGGGAATACACTAATTGTCATGAATATTATATAATTTAATTGGCATAGAATAAAGTTCATAAGATATAAGAAGTTAAACTTATTTAAATTTTTTTGCTATTTTAAAGTCGAAAAACTAACTTTAAAATTTGAATAAAATTAAAATAATAGATAATTTTCTTTCATTTGATATAAATTTTTTGAAAATTGACCCTTTATCTACCTAAGGGGAGGGGATATATTGAACATAGTTATCATATTCAAAAATATGCTATTTTTGTGTTAAAGTTTTGGGTTTTGTATTTTAATTTATTTTAATATACCTTAAAATGGGTTACATTGATTTTTCCTTAATTCTTTTTGAGTTAGAATATTGCTTTGAAAAATTCACCAATTTCTTAAAATTAAATACTATCTACAGATTTGCATCGAAGTGTTTCTTATGGTAGTGATTTTAATTATTGTCAGATATCATCTATACTAGTTCCAACTTTACCACGCTCACACTGTGCCGCGACCCCACTGTGCTACCATTTTTTTTTTTGGTTATTAATATTTTGGCAATCATCAATACAGAGGAAAATTTTTTGATGAACAAAAAAAATGTTCAAAAATTTGTTAAATAACCCTTCGAGTAAAAACATTGAGGATTTGAAGGTCAATGTAAATTGTAATTGTATTTTCTTTGCCCAGAGCATTGTGAAAGCTTGGGCTTTTACTGTTTACAGTAATGATAAATTGAATTATAAAAACCAAAGAATATGATTTAATATTTTGTTTTAGTATAAAAAATTAATTATCTATTTTTTAGCATATTAAACAATATGACATGGTATGAAAATATTGGTGTTATTGATTTTATAAATAATATTGGTAGACAATTTAGAATGGGTACTATGTTATCAAGAGATAGTGTCAAAGCTCGTTTAAATGGAAGTGGAATGAGTTTCACAGAATTTACATACCAAACATTTCAAGCTTATGATTGGCTATACTTATACAGAAAATATAATTGCCTTTTTCAAGTAAGAAAACTTATTTAAAGAATAAAATTGTTAAGTAGAATTTTTTATATTTGACTATTTCAGATGTCATGCAATTTATGCATACCTGAAATCATATTATGCATAACTGAATTTACTTATTTACTAATTTTTATATTTTACTAGTTTAAGTATATAATTTGTATTAAATTTAATATTCGTGTATATTTGAATTTTTTTATTTTATTTTAATGAAATAAGTTACATATATCATTTTGTATATTTAGTTAGGAGGAAATGATCAAATGGGAAACATCATGTCAGGTCAAGAATTAATTAGTAGAGTTGAAAATAACAATGTTTATGGTAACTTTTTGAAATAAGATTATTTTATATATTTGTTAAATATAATATTTAACTATACAGGATTGACTGTTCCATTAATAACAACTGATTCTGGGGATAAGTATGGAAAATCAGCACAAAATGCTGTATGGTTAAATGCAGATAAAACTTCCCCTTTTGAATTATATCAATTTTTATTAAGGACCCCAGATGCTGATGTTGAAAAATTATTAAAAATGTTCACATTTCTTACACTTCCTGAAATTGAAGAAATAATGAAAAGACATAATGTAAATATAATTAATTTATAAATGTATGCTTAATTAGAATCAAAATATTCACAACTTCTCATAATTGTTTATTTAGCTAGAACCTCAAAAAAGATTACCTCATGAAAAACTTGCTCAAAATGTTACTAAACTAGTGCATGGAGGTATTAATTGGAACAATGTGTTGTAATCTTTCTTAAAATATAACAATTATACATTTTTTACTTAATTAGTATCTGGTCTTCAAGAAGCATTAATGGCTACATCTATTTTATATGATAAAAATGTTGAGAATCTGGGCAAAATAAATTGTAATGATGTTTCAAAGATCTTCAGTGGTGCAGAAGTAGTTGAGTTATATTTTGAACCTAGTTTAACTGTATTAGAAATGGCTATGAAAGCTAAGTGTTTTTTAACTGATAGTAAGTCTAGATCTGATTATGTAACCAGATTTCTATATCTTAACTATTTTTTTACTATATTAAATATACTATAAATTTAATTGTTTTAATTATTGTTGTATAATTAAATTTCTTTTTCAAAATTGTTGATAAATAAAATAAAATTTTTAGGTGATGCATGTAGAATAATTACAGCTGGTGGTTTTTATATAAACCATCAAAGAATGACAAATTTGAATGAGATACTTACAATATCTGCCCATATTTTACCAAACAAAATATCTCTAGTAAGAGTTGGTAAGTAATAAATTAACGTTTTTGATTACTATCCTAAATTTACAATTTTTTTTATTAACAATAAAGTATTAGTTAATTGACTGTTATTGATAATCTTAATATTTAGTTTGAAATATTTTATTTATTTTTAGGAAAACGTAATTATTGGATTGTAAAGTGGATAATGTAGTGTATGTTATGGAATAATATATAACCATTAGAATAAAGTTGTAAACTATAATATATAAATATATACATTTATGAATTATTTATTTTGAGTTCTTTATAATAAATAATAATCTTGATCTTAATTATGCGGTATAATAAATATACAAATAAATAAAAAATAATAATTATTAAGTTGTAACAATTTAGCTACTAGAAAATACTTAAAACCGCAATTAAGATGATATCTCGCTCTTTAAGAACAAAACAATAATAACAGTCTTGTTTAGAGCATTAGAAAATAAATAACAAATATATGCAGTACAATTTTAAAAATTTGTCAGATATTCAAAATAAATATAGCTAACTCAATTTAATATCACAAGTTAAATTGGTAAAAATAATTAGATATTAACTTATTTTTTTTTTGAATTTTCATAAGATCAAATTTTGTTAACATATTTTTTAAATTTAATTAATGTTAACGACATTTGCACTTCATTAATATAATCAATTGTTTGCTCTTTTAAAATTCAAAATACATCAAAATTTTAGTGTAATTTTAAAGTTTAAATTGGGTACACAATTAATCAGTTTTGACTATGTTTTACCCTAAAAAATGTTTATTTGAATTTTTGCGCTGATAAATGTACTGTAGATTTAAAATTGAAATTTGGATAAATAACTGATATTATTTTATGAATGTATGAATATGGTAATGCAGCCATAATCATAAAAAGTTTTATCAAATATCTATTTTAGAAAATAAATATCTTAAATTTATCACTATTTATATTTATTTTTTTAAGGAATTCATTGTTAGTCACTTTGTTTAAATAGCTGTAATTTCTTGTTGGTGAATATCTTGTTGAGTATTCACTTTATCCACACATTTCCATAAACCATAGGTTTTACCAATAGTAGTTTGCCACAAGCGAAGGGTACCATCTTCAGAGCCTGATGCATAAAGTTCACCATCTGGAGAGAAACGAACACAATGCACTGGTCCAAAATGGCCTTTGAACGATTCTAAAATATATGTATTTTTTGAATATTAAATTGAAATAAATTAAAAAAATTAACTTGTTTACCTATTTCTTTGCCAGTAGTATAATCAAATTTATACATTTTAAGATCTTCGCCTCCACATACAAACATAGTTTTATCTCTATGTAATGATGCAGTGTTTACAAGGGTAGGCACAGTTACTTCATTAACTTTGGTTAAACTGAAAAAATATATATATAAAAAAGGCTTGTTAAACATCATTGTAAACAATGATTTACTATGATTTTTATCAAACCTTTCAGCATTCCAAAAACTAACACAGCTACCATGAGCAATAGTAACAATCGATTCATCTCTTGAAACCTCTAGACTGGTTGGTACGGCATTAAACTCCATTTTATGTATTTCCTGGAAATAAAGGCATAAATGTATTAAAAATTAAAAATTTTAAATTAATTATTCATTAACTTGTCCAGATAAAGGATCCCAGATTCTGACAGTCTTATCATCAGCACATGAAATAATTCTTCTATCATTTTGAAAAAACATGACATGTTTTATACCTGATGTATGGCCATTAAATATAGTAACAGGTTCTGAATAAATTAAAGAAAAATTAATGAATTGTAAATTGAATACAAGTTTCATCAAAAGAATAAGTAGAATTTTAAATACAAGACTATTTTATTTATCTGTATAATTGGCTCAAGAACAATATAAATTTGTATTATTAAATGTGAGTTATTCAGACATATGATTAACATTGAAAAATATATTTTAAGAAATGATGTCTATATAGATTTTTATATAGAAAAAATCTACAAATTCTTTAAAAATAAATTATTTATATATTTGAATTACAAAAATGTTTACCTATGCATATATTAATTGATTAAAATATTAGCATTTAATCAATTATAATATACTACTATTACATTGAATGATTGAGGAGTAATATTCTAAAAACAAGAATTAGTTAAACTAGATTAACTAGTACATGAAAGATTTTAATCAATAATATAATAAACACTAAGTTTATTTGAGAGATTCATTATTTTAATTAATAAAAAAACATCTACATATACTTAGATTTTTATTTAACAATTCTGAAGATAATTTTAAAAAATGTATTGAAATATTTAATTTATAAATTATTAGCTCTAAGATGTATTAGATTGTATTTTTACTTTATTTTTCAAATAAAATATACAGCAAAATTACATTTTTAGGGGGAATTAATGAAATGTCCCATATTTCTAAATATTTAAAGTACGCAATATAAAACTCTTTAAAAAAAAAAAAAAAAAATTAAATGTCTCATTAATTTCAAGGGCATAATGACAATGACAGATATACCATGTAGAGTTTATTGGCTTAAGACTGTTGTTTCTGTTGGTAATAGTAACAAGTGGACCTTGATCATAATGTAAGCCCATATGAATGTATAAATACATTTTAAAACTTAAAATAGTTCCTGATTAAAACAATATTTTTCCTAGTATAAGTATTAAATGTTATACTGTGGTAATTGTATGATTATGACATAATGAAAATAAAATAAATTATAAAAAGGGGAGAACAATACTAAAAAGAATTTAAATTTTGTTAAATTTAATTCAATTTAATATGTTTACTCACCAGATGGTTTATTGAGATCAAAAATTCTGAGTAGCTTTTCATTAGAGCCTGTAGCAAGAAAAATGCTATCTCTTGAAAAATTTACACTTTTAACTATATGTTTGTGTTGGAATGATTGAATTTCACCTCCAGTGTTGGCATCCCATATCTAGAATTAAATTATTTTGTTATACAATATTTTGTAAGTCAATTATTTTATATTAACTGTACTAAATTAATCATAATATTTAAGTATTTAAGAAAGTTATTAAAAATAAATTTAGGTGGAATACTTTAAATATTTTTGCTTAATAAAGATATATTTTAGATAAAATGTCTCAATTTTGAAAACATATTCAATTCAACAATTATAATTGTATTATTAAAAATAAAACAAGTACCTTAATTAAAATTAAATAAAAAGAATATTTTATTAAAATAATTATTAGATCCTGTTTTTTATTTTTACTAAATATTCTTTGTAATTTACTAGATTATTGGCTGTAATCTTATTGGATCTTGTACAAAACTATCTAAAATTGTTTAACTTATTTAAACATAAGTATGTAACTTATGTCTATGTAAGTTATATTATATTAAAGTTAATATATTAATTACAATACATAAAGTAGTGGTACTAAATGGCAATATACGTCACAGAAAATTAATTCTTAATAAGAGCAGAATATGAATAAAATAGACTCTTGTTATGTCTAATCTCAAGAGAAACAGAAAAAAGTATGAGATATTGAGTTTTATAAATACAAGGTGATTCTTTTAATAATATTTTATTTTTTATATTATGAAAAATAATTTTTGCATAATATAGTTTTCAGTTTCATTTTACTAATTATTAATTATTTTTTTAATTACTTCCTTAAACCTTATAAGGGTGTTAATGTTACTTTTATAAATTGCAACATACATCTTTAACTAGCTTAAATATATGAGACTAAAAAATATCAAAAATAATCTTCTAAACATAATTATTATATTAAGAGAGATTGAGTGGTTAATATTAAAAGAATCATATGTAAATAAAAAATAAATTCTAGAGAATTTTAGTAAAGTTTACAATAATGAGACATTCTACATAGTAGTGTTTTACTGAATTTCAAGCTATGTAAGTTTGATTAATTTTATTAAATTAGTTTTTTCTAGAGATCTGTTAAAAATTTAACAGTAATTAAATTTTTTTGTTTTGAAATATATTACTATTTTTGTCGATTGACAACACATATTTAGTAAAGACCTGTAAAACTTAATTACAATATTTTTGGTCTTTGGTGTATTAAATAATTTAAAGTTATACAATTTTTCTTTAAATTTATAATTCAATAAAAATTAGTTTTTTCTTTAATTTGTATTTATTTTCATTTTGCTCTTACAATTCATTCATACAAATAAAAATGTTATTAAAAATTGATTATATGAATTAAAAACAATTGTAAATATTTAACCATCATTATGTATTTATTCTGATTTCAAAATTAAACATAACTTTTTTTTTACAACAACTATATGTATAATTTTTTAAAAAAATTTTTTCAAAAAAGTCAAGTATAGTATGAATTGAATAAATTCAGACTTTATAACTAATTATTTTCTATATTTGTCGTTTTAAAATATATTATAGAATTTTAGATGAATATCAAATATTACTTATTATATTACTATGCTTTGATAAATATTGTGTGTTAAATACAGTGAAAGTATATTAAACTGGAGAAACAATACTTGCATACATATTACATACATTTTCTAGGAAGCAGATAAACAATACACATACTAGGAAGTTAGTTTCAAGGCTAATATGAGCTATTTTTTTAATAAAAATACAGTACTCATACCTTAGCTTCAAAATCTGCAGCACCACTTGCAGCTACTGTTGCTTCTTTGTTCAAGGCTACCCCCCAAACAGCACCTTTGTGGCCTTCAAAAGTACCAATCCAATCTCCAGTGTCTCCTTGTCTTAACATAGGTTTTCCATCTTTAAGTAAATAAAATAATTATACATAAAAGTATGAAAACGCATAATGATTTCTTAAATCATACCTTTACATGCAGAAATTAAAAAATATCCACAATCGGTGATATCACTGAAATCCAGATGTACGACAGGTCTAGTGTGTCCACTACAGGTTAAGGGCGTTTGCTTAAAACTTGACATTTTTTGATAAAACTTAAACACTACACAACTGTTTTGACTTATAAATACAGAGCTTATGATTAAGTAGATGGAACTTAAATATACTTTGATTGCTTCACTGAAGGATACATCAATAGCAACACGTTCTACTGATACGACGCAAACGAGTTACTGAAGATTGATGATGAAAATAACATGAGGAAACCAATTGATAATAGATTGTGCACAGTGTTGCCATATAATAAGTCATAAAACACATGTACAATTTCCCTCGTCAATTGATAATTGTCATGTGATACTAGTGCTACCATTTAATTTAATGTTACTAATAACACAGATAAGGTAAAACCAAATGGTGCACTTCGGAATTTACTGTTAATTATCAATAAATTTTGATTCGAATTTGCCTCAATGCAGTGTCATCATATAAGAGAACAAAGACTAAAATTATATCCTATTATTATAAACCTATCTTTAATCTATCTGCAATAATCTTTTAAACTCTTTTATAGATTAATCAATTAAATTTTATTTAATCTACACTAAATACTAAATATATTTATAACATTTACACTTCAATAACTCATGGACACAATTTTTAAATATTTTCTTGTGCTATTTCATTACTGCAATTTTTAATTCATTTTTAGTGAAAAAAAATGATATATTTAAGTAAACTATTATACTTGATAGTTAGTCGTTCAATTATATTATACAAAGTGTTTAATAAGTAAGGAAATAGGTAATCGTTACAAACAATTGAACTTTTGCCTTATTTACTGAAAATTTTTGAGCACTCTGTGAGTATTTAAAAATGTCTACAATTCTAAGATTAACGCTTACTGTCATCATCGTACTAAAGTTTCCTTATGTCAGTTTAGAGTTACCTTAAAAATTAATTTGTAACCTGTTAAGTTTTGACCGTTTATGAGCTTTATTTTTATTGAGATAATTTAGGTAATTTTTCTTTGAGTAATTGGCGGGCAAAGTCAAAATATATAAAATTTCACTGGAAATTTTTTATTTTGTTTTTTAAGTTTTTTTTAATAATCAATCTTGTTGAAACGTTTACACTAGTTTCAATTGTTGATTAGATGATAAATACTGTTAAATTTCAATCTATACTGAAGTCCACTATGTCAGATTTCCACTGAGCTGGGTATATTTAACTTGAGAAATGATTAAAAGCTCAATAAAAACGAAAAAAACATGACAAAACATAGTAGTTATAAATCATTAAAGTTAGTATAACTTACAAAGCCTAACATTCGTTAGACTCATTGTACTCAAAAATACAATAACGTTGTATTTTGGATTCTATTATTATTATTCCATTATTATAACTAAATAATAATATAAAAATTATTTTTTTATATTAATAAGAAATCATTTTCTAAGATGTTTTCTCATAATATAATATATATTTGTTATCTCATCATATTAAATTAATTACAAATAAATAGATTTAAAATTTTCACAAGAAACGAAATAATTTAAATTTCTTCATTAGAATAATGTAAATGAAATAATGATTACTAATAGTATTATTAAGTTATAAAAAATATTATTTCAACTGTGTAAACATTGTAAAGAAAAACATAAAAACACATTATTATTATTTTGAGACATTATGTGTCAAAATATGACTAGCTTATTTGTACAAGTACCTAACATTCAAAGACTACAAAAGAAAATGTCAAGGTATATTTTGTATTACTTTATAGATATTCGTTGAGAATAATATGAAGTACGAATTTATATTTCAATTTGTAACGAAAACTTAAAAATGAAAATGATCTACAATATTATTTTAGTGATTATTTCTGCTAATGTTAGTATTAAACTCGGTATATATATTAGTACAAATATAATATACAATACCTATTATAATATTAAAATAATATTGTATATAAATTAAATGAACTGTATTGTATTTTTCAATTGTTACAGATGCTACCAGAGAGCATAGAATCGACAGAATTAACACCTGTTAAGATGATGTTCAATTGTTTATTTAGCTCTAATTTGCACGGATCAGTTAAACGAGGTTTGCATGTATTATTTTCAATTAAAAAATTTGAATTAATTAATCTACAAGTTAAACTCTAGAGCAGTGTTTTGTAAAAGTCTGACTTCTTCAGTCATGCCTATGATTAACTATATTATTTTATTTAAAAACGATATTTAATGTTTTCAAGATAATTTCAGAAAATATATTACTAAATAAAAATGTCTACAATTATGCACCACTATTATTTTTTATTTCGTTTTAATACTTAAGTAATAATATTTTCTTAGCTAAGAATAAAGTATTTTTAATCATGTAATTTTGAAAAAAATAAATATTAGTGATTTTGCTATTTTTGTTGATAGAAAAATCGAAAAACGATAAATAATAGTAATTTATTAAATTAACCCAATACTCAGTTAAATATAATATAATTTTTAGACGATTCTAATCAATTCACTGAAGATTTTATGGAGAAATTGAAAAATTGGGATGATTTTATAAAAGATAATAATATTACCTCTGTTGATCTTGGAAAAAGAATCGGAATAGACATTGCAAATAGCATTTGCTCACAAGCCCCCGACACTGTGCAATATTGTCCCCAAAAGGTTCAGTATTGTTGTTACTATTACGTAAAAGATGCAAGATATGAATTGATACCGATCCACATTAAGCAGATGGAAAGTATCCGTAAAAATCTCATTGAATTTAAAAATAACTGGTATAAACCACGTGACAAGACAATATTATCAATTTAATTTTTATTTATTTATAGTAAAATAAACAGTATATTATTTTGTTTTAAAATTAAGTTGATATTTATGTAAAATCAAACATGCTTAAAATAATGTCAGAAATAACGTATCCACATAGCAATAAAATACTTCTAGAACACTGGCGTACGCAAGGGGGGGTTTTGGGGGTTGAAATTCCAGAAATTCCAGTAGCAATTGACATAATATAATTGTTGTTTGGGAATGTACAATTTAGTGTTTGGTTAGGTTTAAATAATATAGCGTCAAATCAATTACCTACTCTATCGGTTGTATCTTAATATACACTTTCATGATACTATAAATAAATTAATTCGCACATAAACTCATATGCATTTATAAAATTGTGTCTAATGTAAGTATGACATGATAAAAAAACCGTAAAATGGAATAAATGCAATATACATTTTAGTACTCATATTAAATGTAATGTAACTCGAAAAATATTTGTTTAAATGAAAAAATAGAAGATACATTTTTTGTTTAAAATTGTCTTTTAAACAACTTTTGTACGAAACTTTTTTTTTAAGTTAAATATTTTTTGAAAAAATTTAAAAAGCTCATATATTTGAACTTTTGTAAGGCTGTAAAAAGAAAACTCAATTCCAATCGATGAGGACTTTTATACATATCTTATGTCATTATACATATTTTAATTAAACTTAAAAAAAAAAAATTTGGTTGTCAATTTTTTCTCCCATTTGCCAAAATTACTACTCCGTTGACTGGCCTAATATGGGCAGTGTCACGTCTAATTTTCTTTAAATTATAAAAACCCCCCAAATTTAATTTCTGTGTTGGCCACTGTTCTAGAATATTTATTTTTGATATTCAAGTATTTCTACAATATAACCAGAATATTTAAATATGTTCTCACAATATTAAATTTAGGAATATACTTAAGCAGCGATTATTACATTCTCGTTATACACTAAAAATATATTTCTAAAATATTATAAAAAAAAACATTTTGAGAATAATTTACAGGATGTTTTATGAAAATAAGTAACTCTGATATATTTCTTGATATTTACGTATAGTTATTATTTATATAAATCCACACGTGAAATAGTTTAATATATAGATATTTAATTAATTATAATGTCAGATTAATAAAACAAAAAATAAGGGATACTTTCGTACATTTTAGATAACATTTTAATAGTGAAAACAAAAATCTGAATTTATATTCAGATAAATAATAGATATCATGATGTTGATTTGGTGATGTGTAGGACGAAAAAAGAGAAAAATAAGCAGAAAAGTGACTAAAATCGTTTATTACTCGAATAAAAGGAATAGTTCACTGTAGTTCTAACAATATTGTACTGATTATATAAACAGAGTTATTTTTTACCATAACCCACTCAATTACATACAGAATAAAAGTAATTTAAACATTTTGGTTTTATGGTTACCTTTAGTTATATATTATTTTTGACTTATTAGATATGTAATACTTTTTACGTTCATCCCTCATGCCTTGTAAGGGTTTCAACATTGTTTTTTTCAAATTAGAAAACATATTTTGAATTAAATAAAATATTTGTATTTTAATAGTAAATAGAATTTGAATTTTTAACAGAACTTTATTCGTTTATTAAATATGAAACATTAAAGTTTCAAATTTTTGTGTTAACATCCATGTATAATGACGGATTTCAAATACAAGTAGCTAATTGTATTTTTATGACGTCGCTATTTGCGACGCAAACTATTTTACGCAGAGTTTGCTGTCAATTATGACTTTATGAACATATATGCTTAAAGTATGATAGTAAGGCACGTTGTTGTGTTTATAAATACACCAATTGACAATACAGAAATCATATTTAATTAATGATGAACTAGATTGAACGGTTCTTAAAACAGTATAAATAAATAACGCGTTTATGTAAAATAGCCTTGCTTGAAAAAGATCAATTAATCTGATTCAATTTTAATAAATTCGATTAAAATTTGAATTGTCTGGTTCTGTTTATTTTGGGTTTGGGACATTTCGCCGTCAGACTCTTGATGTATAAATTTATTAATAACCTCTTTTCAAAAAGTTATAATTATTTTAGTCTAATTCTTTATTGCACAAGTCCTTAAAATCCAGTATAATGATAAAAAAATTAATTATTTATTTAATGTCACAAATTATTTAAATTTAATTTTTACTTAATTTAATTATTGTAAATAAATGTTATAATAATTATAATATACATTGTTATTCTTTTATTTTAACAATAAATACTATTGAAATAACTGTATTTCAAGCATACTAATGTTCTTATTTATATGTATAGATAGTAAAAATGTGATATAATTATTAATTATTAATGTATATACTTAGCACCGTATCATAAATTAGCAAACCTAGATTTGCAAATTTTGTATATTTATAATGGACAAGGTATAAAGTACTCAAAAGTTCTGTATCCTCTTGGATAGCTATTTTAATAATTTTAGAAATTAAATAATTAAAATAACTTTAGTCAATATTATAAATTGTTATTTATAAAAAAATTGTCACTTTTAAAATAAACTATTCAAACAATTTGAAATGGTACATATGAATATCGAATTGTATGGGTGCGAATATAGCAAGATACTTCATTATTTTGTATTATTATTTATTGTGTATAAGATATTTTGTTTAACAATAAATTAAAGTTTTAGAATAGTTAATTAGGGTAATTTTTGTTTTAAAAATACAACATATTAATTACTTTAATTTACTCTTATAATAGTTGTAATTGTTTATTTTAAAACGAACTTTATTAGGTTACCCATTAGTATTTTGAATATTTTAAATATAAAATAATACTACATTTCAAGATAGAAGTTAATAAACTAATTTATTAAGCACAAATTATTTTAATATCGATAAAAAGTTGAGTTAACGAGTGAATGAATTATATCTTTACTAAACATAAAGTAAATTAATAAAAAGGAGTGCACTCATAAACTGTGTAAACCGTGTCGCACCGGTAGCAACTGACTAGTAGTACTCAGGCAAGTTACCCCAAGATAATTTATCCCAACTCCGAATTTTGGATAGCTTATTACTCGGTGGTTATTGATTGTAATCAATTATAATTTAATTATTATACACACATAGATATCTCAGTGTTGTTTTAACAATAAATATGGGCGTTGAAGCTAAGATGTCAAATTTATAGTTATTTCCATTTATTCTGACATTTCTCGATAGTCACCATAAATACAGACTATTTGATATGTAAATATGAGTCTCAAAAAAATTAAATGTAAATATGAATATTAAAATTGTTATTGTAATATAAATACTATATGTCAATCTATAATATTAGAACTGTTTTGATTTAAATACTATTATTAATTGAGATACTAACTGGATAACACTAGATACTAACTAGTGTTAAATCAAAATGTTTTGATTTTATCAGATGAAGTGTTATTATAAAATAACTTTTAGTAATTTTGGATAGCTTATTACTCAGTGGCTATTGGTCATAGAGTCACCGAGTTTACGTTGGCACTTTTAGGTTTAAGTCCCTTTTGTAGTATGCTATCACTAGAAGGGCGTAAAATCCCTTCCCAGGGATTTTGCTTATTTTTGGGCCGATCCTTCCGAAACTAAGTATACCTCAGAAATGCTACAGGAAACAGATCCCACGTACCTACCTAACATATTATCTTTTTTCATTATTTTAATCTTATTTAAAGATAAACACATTTACTTGAAACATCAATAACTTATTTAAATTGAATATTGATAATATTATTATATTATATATATATATATATATATATATATATATACACGAGTAATTATTTTTTAATAAATATTCGCCAGACAAAACATCATCGTAAACATAATATTACATATTCTTTAACTTGGAATTTGTAAATTAATTCAAACTTAAAATCATGATTTCCTATTTTGTTTGCTTTGTTAATTTGGGGCGTAATCATATAAGTTTAAGTATTATAATTTTTTAAATATGGTAATACAACAGTTTCACTTCAGTTATGGAAATCAATACTAACTTTATTAAGGTTCTTATATATCTTCTATAATTTAAATATTTTTTAAATTATAGTATTCAACTATTGCTTTTAGTTGTTTTGGCTATAACAGCCAAATTTAATATATAAGTATAACACTTATATACTAAATACAAATAGGTGATTTTTTAAATCATTTTAGTTGTTTAATTACAATTAATTTGGATAGATTTATCACTGTAGGAAGTGTTTTAAATAGTAATAAAAGTAATGATATTGTAATTGTGCAAACTAATTCTAATAGATTTTCCTCATATTCATCTCTAACTGAATCAAATTCCAAGTATGGAACATATAAACCAATAGAATGGACTTTGCAGGTAATATACTAATAAAATTTTATTCTATAAGTATGAAAATTATAAAATAATATGTATTAAATAGTGATGGTCGTTTTATGACTGATTCAAAAGTAAACCATGAACATTTATCTGATTATGCTCAAAATACACTTACGAGACTTTTAATAAATTATTTATTTAAAGACAAAGCTTGGTAATATGCAATATGTTATTTTAAATATTTATTATATATTAAAAATGTATGGGTGTAAGTTAAAATAGTTTACGTGCATGAAAACTTATAGTTCCTAGATAAAATAATCATAGACTTCTAGTTTTATACTAATTTAATATTTCTATTAACTAAACTTATTTTATATTAAATATTTGTTTTTAAGAACTGATTTTTAATTTTGGAAAATAAAAACAAGAGGTAGAATATAGGTTTCAAACTATTGTATTAATTTATATATATATTTTTTTAAATTATCATGTTCAATTAATAATAATAATAAATGCAAATAAATAAATGTTTCAAATACACATCAATAAATTTAATAATTAAAGCACTTTTTCAAACTAAAATTTTTTTTTTTAAATTTTTTTTTTTAAATAGTTATGGTGTCTCAATATGACTAGATTTTGGGCATATTGTCATAAAACATTGCTTATTATAAATTTAAAAAAAAACAGGTTATTGTACCTATTTGATATTTGAATGACCTACCCTTTAATTAATCAATGTATTTTAAATAAAAACAGATTATAATATTTTTAAATTTAACAAATAAGTTCAAAATTAAAAAAATTGTGTATATAAAAATTTTTAATACATATTACCTCTGCATTCTTTTATTTACTGATAAGTATTTTTTAAATTTTAATTTTAATACTATTAATAAGAAAAACACGATTATACATGCATTTGAACATAAAATATTAAAAATGAGTTTTAATATTACTATTTTTATCTCATAGAATGTATATTTTATTCCATCAAGTCAAATAATTCCATGCAAAAGAAAAATTAGTGGAACGTTGGAAAAATTTTGGAGCTTTGGAGCTATTGAAAAAAAAAAATAAAAACTCTGAAATATTACCAATTTTAAAATTTTCTGGTAATAATATTATGAAACATTTATGTTTTATATTCATGCTAATACATCCAATTTAACTTTTAAATAACTTTTTTTACTTTTTACTTTCAATTATAATACCTGTAAAAACTATAAAAAGAGTAATATGTTGTGTCTACTTATTATTAGCTTCGATGCGAAGCTGAGAAGGTATTGGTTTTACTATGACGTGTTTTTTTTGTGTGTGTCTGTTACCACTTTTTCTCAGCACTCACCGAACTGATTTCTTTCAACGATACGTCAAAAGATCACAAACCGTATCTAGTTGAAGATATTACCCTTAAAAATTGAAAAAATTTCCCTTGTTCCCTGTAAATGGGGGAAACCTCCAAAAAAATTACAAATTTTAAATTCGTTTATTTTCGAAATTTTTTCAATCTTTTTCTTAAAACTTCCATAACTTTTTCAAAAATAAACATATCAATATAATTTTTTTTTATAGATGCTTGATGTTTTTACATATCATTTGGTATATTTTTTTTATAAATCTGACACTTAACCTGCCCACAGGGGGGGATTTAAAATGACAACTTTTTCACAAAAAATTAACTTTTTCAACTTATTTTTTGAAAATGTTCCGGAAGGTCTAACACTTTTATATATATCTTAAATTAAAGCTAATGTAATGTACTTTATTATGAAAAAAAAAAATTTCGGATTTTATTTTGTCTTCACGGTAAAAATGGCTACCGAATGCTATTTTTGTGTGAAAATTCTCGATTTTATTTTTTACATTTTTAACTTTATAATGCTATAACTTATTGAAAAGTATATGGATCAAAACAATTTTTTCATGAGAAGTAGTATTTATATACATCTTTCATTCGACATACTTTTTTTTTTTTAAATCAGACTATTTCCTTATATACGGGGGTGTTCAAATCTAAAAAATGCATATAGAAAGTAGAACTTTTTCAACTTAACTTTTGAAAGTATTCCGGAAGGTCCGACACCTTTTTATATATCTTAAATTAAAGCTAATGTAATATACTTTATAATGGTAAAAAAAAATTTCAGACTTTATTTATTAAAAGTGTATGGATCAACATTATTTTTTTATGAGAAATAATATTTTTTAATAATCCCTTTTTCATTCGACATACTTTATCTTAATTAGGATATTAATAATGAACTAGCAGATCATGTAGCTTTTGGAATAATCCACCCAATTTTTTAAAATTAAACACTATCTAAAGATTTGCATCAAAGCGTTTTTTTTTATAGTGATTTTAATCACTGTTAGATATCATTATACTTGATCCAACTATGCCACGTCACCACTATGACACGACGCTCCTGTGCTGGGTTTTTTTAAATTTTGATACTGATCATATTTAAATTAATTTTTATTTAGATACCTGAACAAGCAACACATTGAATATTCTACTGATTCTATATTTAGTAATAACTAAAATTCAAATGAAAACAAACAAAAAGTCTGAAAAATCATTGTTTTTTGTTGAATCTGCTTCAGCTTTTGTTATAAATGTTTCAGTAAGTTACTATAATAAATATACAGAGTGATTTTTTTATCATAACCCACTCAATTACTTACAGAATAAATATAATTTAAACATTTTTTTTTTTATTATCTTTAGTTACACATTATTCTTGAATAATTAACTATGTAATACTTTTTAAGTTTATCCCTTATATTTGGTAACTTTGTTTTTTTAAATGGGAACACATATTTTGAATTTAATAAAATGTTTGAGTTTTTAATTTAATTGTAAATGGCATTTGAATTTTGAATATAACTTTATTCGTTTATTAGATATAAACATTTTAAAGTGTAATAATACACAAGGGATTACAAATACAGGTAGCTAATTGGTTTTTTATGACATCAATTTACGCAGGTACACGGCATTGTTATTATCAATGGTAGTAAGGCACATTGTTGTGAGTTCATAAATATACTAACTGATAATATAAAAAGTATATCTATTGTTAGTCATAATTGATAATAAACAATCCGAGACTGTGACAGCGATGTCATAAAAAACCAATTAGCTACCTGTATTAGTAATCCCTTGTGTATTATACATGTATAATAATTTAAAAAACCCAGCACAGGGGGGTCGCGGCACAGTGGTGACTTGGCATAGTTGGATCAAGTATAATGATATCTGACAGTGATTAAAATCACTATCAAAAAAAAACGCTTCGATGCAAATCTTTAGATAGTGTTTAATTTTAAAAAATTGGTGGATTATTCCAAAAGCTTCATAAACTGCTAGTTCCTTATTAATATCCTGATTAAGACAAAGTATGTAGAATAAAAAAGAGATTATTAGAAAATAGTATTTCCCATAAAAAAATTATATTGATCAATACACTTTTCAATAAGTTATAGCATTATAATGTTAAAAATGTAAAAAATAAAATTGAGAATTTTCACACAATAATAGCATTTGGTAGCCATTTTCACCTTGAAGATAAAATAAAGTCCGAAATTTTTTTTTTCCATGATAAAGTATATTACATTAGCTTTAATTTAAGATATATATAAAAGTGTCAGACTTTCCGGAACACTTTCAAAATTTAAGTTGAAAAAGTCAATTTTTTGTGAAAAAGTTGTCATTTTGAATCCCCCCCTGTAGGCAGGTAAAAAGTCAGATTTATAAAAAAAATATACCAAATGATAGGTAAAGACATCATGCATCTACAAAAAAAAGAATTATATTGATCCATACATCTTTCGAGAAGTTATAGCATTATAAAGTTAAAAATATAAAAAAGAATTTTTTTACAAAAATCGTATTTTTTTTATTAAGTTTAATGTCTGTTTTCACCATGAAGATAAAATAAAGTCCGAAATTTTTTTTTACCATTATAAAGTATATTACATTAGCTTTAATTTAAGATATATATAAAAGTGTCAGACCTTCCGGAACACTTTCAAAAGTTACGTTGAAAAAGTTCTACTTTCTATATGCATTTTTATGTTTTGAATCCCCCCTGTATTTAGGGAAATGGTCCGATTTAAAAAAACAGTATGTCGAATGAAAGATCTATATAAATACTACTTCTCATAAAAAAATTGTAATGATTCATACATTTTTCAAAAAGTTATAGCATAATAAAGTTAAAAATGGAAAATACAAAATCGAAAATTTTCACACAAAAATAGCATTCGGTAGCCATTTTCACCATGAAGATAAGATAAAGTCCGAAATTTTTTTTTTTCATGATAAAGCATATTACATTAGCTTTAATTTAAGATATATATAAAAGTGTCAGACCTTCCGGAACATTTTCAAAATTTAAGTTAAAAAAATTAATTTTTTGTGAAAAAGTTGTCATTTTAAATCCCCCCTTGTGGGCAGGTTAAGGGTTAAATTTATGAAAAAAATATACCAAATGAAAGGTAATGATATTATGCATCTATATAAAAAAGAATTATATTGATATGTTCATTTTTGAAAAAGTTATGGCACTTTTAAGTAAAAAAAATTGAAAAAATTTCGAAAATTAGCGATTTTTAAATTTGTAATTTTTTTGGAGGTTTCCCCCTTTTACGGGGAACGAGGGAATTTTTTTCAATTTTTAAGGGTAATGTCTTCGACTAGATACGATTTGTGATCTTTTGACGTATCATTGAAAGAAATCGGTTCGGTGAGAGCTGAGAAAAAGTGGTAACAGACACAAAAAAAAAAAAAAAAAAAAAAAAAAAAAAATCTTAGTAAAAAACACATCTTAGTAAAACCAATACCTTCTCAGCTTCGCATCGAAGCTAAAATTGAAACTTTAAATGTTTATATTTAATAAACGAATTAAGTTTTATTAAAAATTCAAAAACTATTGAATTAAAACTTAAACATTTTATTAAATTAAAAATACGTGTTACCATTTNAAAAACTCAAACATTTTATTAAATTAAAAATACGTGTTACCATTTAAAAAAACAAAGTTGACACCCTTACCAGGCATAAGGGATGAACTTAAAATGTATTACATAGTTAATAATTCAAGAATAATGTGTAACTAAAGATAGTAATAAAAAAAAACGTTTTAATTATATTTATTCTGTAAGTAATTGAGTGGGTTATGATAACAAAATCACCCTGTATGAAATAGATGTACACCTTTGAGTTTATAATTAATTAAGTATTTTAGTTTTATATGAACTTAAACTTATATCACATTTATATGTTTTACTACAATTATTTATATGTATATTTATTTTTAGAATTCAAAATCATTTTGTTGATATAACTCCAACTATTAAAAGAATTTTGAGCAATGGTAAAATGTATGAGACTCTTAAATATATTTTATAACTGTTATATAGTTGTATTTTTAAAAATGTATATCTTATTGTTTATTAATAATATACAGTATATCATTAATTTATTTTTATTGTAATTAATTTGTAAATGTATTTTGTACTTCAAATTTAAACAAAGTAAATGATTCCATTATGTTATGTAATAATACATAAATTTTAAAATATCTTTACTACCCCAATCTAACCTATTAATATTATCTAATAAAGTTTCCTTTTCTATTTTAACTAAATGGATGTTTCTATATTAGTATTTCTATGTAAAATTTAGTTTATGAATATTTGATCATTTTGTCTTTGACACCATTCACAATTAAACAAAATAAGTATGTGTTAAGTATTGATGATGGTAACATTATTTCCGAAATACGTATCCGCGATTTTTTAGTAATTTTTTTGTGGCTTTTGGAGTTAAATATTTTAATTTTAAATAATATTAGCCATAAGTGATCAATTTTTATTATTAAAAATATCAACTACAAATAAAAAATTTCTTGAAGTTGTTTTGATAAGGTGTAGAATATTTAGTGTAAGGTACCCACTTAACACCTACTAAGAATGGAGAATAATATATATTTCTACACAAGATAATGCTCTAAACTGAGTATTCAAAATCATAAGTGAAGTTACACAATATATTCAACAATATATTATGATATAATATACAATGCACAGATAATATTATCTATGTATGATCATAGACCAGTTTTTCAATAAAAATCATTTAAATAATGAGTATTTTAGTAAAAATGTATACTATAAAATTTTAATTTAAATATATTCAGAAACGGTAATTATTTCTTATGTTATTTGTAACCAACTGTTCAACTATATATGTATCATAAATTCTCATCGTTTGACGTTTGAATGCGGTTAGTCATGACTTAAGTGTTGCATTTTACTTATATAATACGCGGTATCTAAACATATTATATGTTCATTTCCTTCTAACTCAATCGCTCTCAGACATCTTCCAATTTATGCAAAATTTATTCAGTTCAAAACATTATTAATATTGTAAAATATTTTAATAAAATGAACGCAAAAATTGTCGTAGTCATTTTGTTAGGTTTCTGTTTAGCAACGAAATTTTTTGAAGCAGCTAGTATTACTTTGCAAAATAAATACAAGGTAAATATTATTTTAGAAAAAATGTTATAATTTAATATTTAACCACAATTTCATAGAAAATAGTGAAATAGAAAATAATTATAATATATTTTCAATGTACAATTTCTTTAATATGTTTTAATAAAAATTCTTGTGAAAGTCAGAAGGTATTTTTGTGATAGTGTGTACGTATTATTTTT